TCTATAATCGCGTATCATGCTACTTTTGAAGATCTAATTTTGAAGCTAATTTTAAGAGGGTCGCATCATGCACGAGATATAAAATTAGCGTATGTACTGCTGGCCCTGGCTACGCCGTTGACCAAACTATATATCTATGTAGTCAAATTAGCTTCAAAATTAGGTCTTCAAAGGTCGCATGATACGCGAGTATATACGGTATATCTTTTATCTCCCGTCTGTTTGCCCATTTTGGCTCAATAGCTGTTGGGTTAATAAAAAAAAAAAGAATAAATAAATAAATAGCTTCCTTTCAATGATGCACTACCTTCAATAATACAGTTTTCGCAAGAATGTTAATTTGTGTGGGGAGGGGTGAATGTAGAGAGGATACTTTCCACCCCTTCCTGTGTTTAAATTTCTTGTTCGTCCAGATGATGTTATAATCAGCGAAATATGTAGTAAGCAGATGCGACAAGATCTGAAGAATAAAAAAGGTGCTAACATTTTCTTTTCAACCGAGAATTTTGGATCTGATCTTTGCTATATGGCGATATGGCATTACGCTTGGTCTCTGTTACATCACAAGGAACCCATTTCCCACACAGTTGGCTCGCAAGCGGACATTTGACATTTTTTTTTAAACACTTCCAAAGTTATATGTGCTTGTCTAACAATAGACAGATACAGGATTTCAGAATCGGTCTTTGTCCTAAACATGTGAGTTTTGATTAAATTCAGACGGCCATAACTTAACTGCGCCCTAGTGGCATTATTGCCGTGCTTGGGGTGAAATGATTAAAAAAAGAAACCCCAGAACAATAGTGGAACTTCCTTCTGATATACTGATTCCACGCCACCTACAATTTTCAAAAATGTAAATGCAATGTCAATCGCAATCTTCTGTCTTACTGAACCCTCTTCTTTTATTGTACTTTCCTCACTTTCCCTCACTAAAGCCTTCTCCTTCGATTTCACTCCCCGTAACAGCCCCCCGCGTGACATAGTGGCATTATCGCTGTGCTTGGTGAGAAATGATTAACATGAACACAAAACCATAAAACAAACTGTGGAACTCCTTTGCTATTATTTGCTTCTCTGATACCAACAATCTTCAAAACATTATTACAACGTCAATGGCCAGTTTCTGTTTTTTTTTTTAAACCCTATTTCTTTATTGTCCTTTTCCTCACTTTTCCTCATTAAAGTCTTCTCATTCTCTTTCACTCCCTGTAACCCATTGAGTCCCAGTGGCATTATAGCCGTGCTTGGGGTGAAATGATTAAAAAAAATACTATGGAACTCCCTTCTGATTTCTTGCTTCCATGCCACCTATAATCTTCAAAAATTTAAATGGAACGCCAATCACTATCTTCTGTTTTTTTTTTGTTTTTTTTTCTTTCTCCGCGTTAAAGTCTTATCATTGACTTTCACTCCATATAACCCCTGTCGTGCTAATGTCATGATCTCCTTGCTTGGGATGAAATGATTAAAAATAATTAGAATAGCGAAAATATCATTAAATCAATCGTTATCAGAAATTGTCCATTACTTACGGTCATGACCTGATATTATTCTTTAAGAAGTTATTTTATTTCACTAGTAATCACTCTCGCAGAAATATATCTACCGAAGGCTGGTAGACATCTTTATGTATCGATTAATTTAAATTTGACTATACGCTTGAGTAATTTATATATATATATATATATATATATATATATATATATAAGAATCATTACGGTGTCAGTTATTTATTATTTTCTCACAATTATCATTTACTCAATTTTTTGTGCAAATGATGGAGAATAGTACTGTATGCTGGGAGAAAAAATCTATTTTAGCCTTTTAGTGTCCATTGTTCTACTTGTGGAACACATTTTAAGACATTCTTAAGAATAATACCAAAGGCATAATCTTGAAGACATAATACCAAAGAAGCATTAATTTTTGTTTTATTCTATTTTAACGATAACATACGAAGAAAGACGCTGAAAAAATAGTCGGTTCATTGTATCGCTCCAGTAAGTACCTGACTCTCGTTGCTATACTTTAAATTTACAAGAGCCAGATCGGACCAAACATGTATTATTGCTGTCCTATCTGAGCTGGAGCTGCCCAGTCCTCACTTGCCTATCTTGAGAGAGTTCAAAAGCGCCGACGCGGCCTTGTAGGTGATTAAATATTTTCTACCCTTTCCCACTCTATCGCTATTTCCATGTTACGTGGTTCTGACGAGCTACATTCCTTCAACCCACCAGCCCTAAACATTGCTACTGGGACTCGCCATGCCACGTACACAAGAGTGAATCATCCTAATTTCCCTCCGTATTCGATTAATAAGGAGTAAGTTCAACTCGGACAGCTTCTTTCCAAGAACTGATGCTTTGTGGAACAAACTCCCGACAGAATATTTTCTCAATAACTACAATCATGACCTCTTAAAGTCTAGGATCAAACTTTATTTCACTTCTTGTCTTTTCTTACGCTTATATAACATCACATGGTACCCCTCTACCTTGAGTGGCTCTCGGTTCTTGTATTTGGGGGAACATTAGTATAAAAATATACACGACAAAGACTAAAATAACAATATCTACTTACATATCGTGTTAAAATACAATTTATGACTTACTAATTTATACTGATTTTCGTCAAATTTTGCAACCATGTCCGGGTTTCCGGAAAAGTTTCAACGAAAACATGATTCCTTCCTCATTTTCAATAGTCAAATAAGTAATCGTCTCCTACAATTTAATCTTTAATTGTGATTATCCTACGTTTTGATTCACTGACTACGGAACTCCGGAGAAGTGGCATTGTAATCGCAATATATGGCTACTGAAGAAAAAGACGAGAGAGACGTGTCCTTGTAACTCTAACCCCTAACACTCGCTACTTTGTCGATATTTCCCTGGAAAGTGCTCAGGCGAACTACATTCCTTAGTTCCACCAGTTCTAACCTTCATGGCTAAGACCCCCGCCAAGCTACGCACATTGTAGCGAACCACCCTCATTCCCTTCGTATTCCATTGGCGGGAGGTAATCATCTGCCCACGAACCACTACTTAGTGGAACCGACTCCCAATAGGGTGGTTTCTCGATCACTAAAATATTAAGGTCTATTAACCGTTCTCTGGTCCGCATATCCACTAATCTGTGCCTCTCAGTCTGAAACCTCTACCACGAGTGGCTCTCGGGCCTTGTACAAGTGAACGTCATTATAAAAAAAAGCACAAATATGCTTATACATCATGTCAAAATACAATTTATGAGTTACCAGTATATACCGATTTTTGTCGTCAAATTTTGCAACTATGTCTGGGGACTAAAGGTTTCAACGAAAAGACGATTCCTTACTACGTTGGGGTTTATGTAGCGAGTAGACTTTTTTACGAGGTTAGTTGTCAGAGTAATCCTGATTGCCAACCAAGGTTAAAGAGAGAGTGTGTGTGTGAGAGAGAGAGAGAAAGAGAGAGAGTCAAGCCAAGTCTATTATTTAATCTGGAAGGTAGAAGAAATAAATTCATATATTTTTCCCTAAGGGTATTTGTGCAAAAGATACGAACAACTCGGTATGCCAATCCTACTTTCGGTGCCGCTAATCACTATGCTATGCAATATTATTGGACCTGACCTGGCATCTAAGCTTGAGGCACTTTCCCACCGCCGTAATATAGCTTCCCTGTGCCTTTTCTATAAATACTTTCATGGTAATTTTTTAGATGAACTCTTCGCTATGGTACCTAGACTTTATGAATTTAAGCGCAGTACTAGATTGACGGCAAGGTCTTATCAGTTCACAGTCGAATTGGCTAGATGTAACCGTAAGTTTTATGCTAAAAGTTTCTTCCCTCGCACTTCTCTTTTGTAGAACACTCTTCCGGCTTCATGCTTTCCTGCCAAATTTGATCTTCAAAAATTTAAATGCAATGTCAATCGTTATCTGTTGTCTTTATTACTCTTTTATTCCTTTCGCTCACTAATATTTTTTTTTTTTTTTTTTTTTTTTTTGGTATTCTATACTCAGTAACCGCTTGTGTCTTAGTGGCTTTACTTTCTTGATGGGGCGATATGATTAAAAAAATAAAGAAAGAAAGAAAAGAAACCTGGAAAATCCGAGGAAGGACTGTAGATATCCAATAAAAATTCCGAAGTCATCCCCACACACTTCTATTCCCTGTCTGCTCGGTCTGTGTTTAATCAAATAATATTGATTTAGGAAGCACTGCCTGTGCTATTTCCACTAATACTGTGATTTCAATTATCTTCATCTTTAAAGTGAACACCTAAAAAATAAAAATACAACCTTTGTAATTAATGTTATAACCGTAAGTACTTTTTACCGACAATGTTTTTCTTTACTTTGCTGTAACATATCTGTTTGGTCTCGGCGTTTGTAACTTAATGGAGCCCAGATATCATGAATGCTATTAACCAGACGAATTTATTAATCAACCTCGGCAACGACGTGGGAAAATATCTGCCGGTGTATGAAATGTAAAATATTTAAATCAGTGGCCAACTGGGTCTAAAAATAAGGGTTGCCAAGAGACAAAGGCGGTCCACCCACAACGCTATAATTTAATTTTCATAACAAAAAAATAAAATTTTCAAACAATGCATAGGGTACGATAAAAATTTTCTGGTGGAAAAAAATGTGTATTTCTTAGGAATTTCAGTGTACATGTATTGCATATATTACTGGCAGCAGATAGCAAACGTAAATACAAAATGTTACACAGTGTAACCCGGATATAAGAGAGTTATCGGGACCGGAGAAGAAGTTTCTCTTATATCAGGGTTTGGTCTGTTTTGTTTAGGTAAGTATGGGCTCTAATTTGGGACCAGAGAAAATCTCTCTTATATCCGGGTTTCTCTTAAATCCGGGTCTCTTATATCCGGGTTACACTGTAATTGAATTTTTTATTTATTTTTTAAATTTTAAGTAACTTTTTGATATTTTTAAATATTTTATTGATAATTTAAATATTGACAGTTCAAAAGACAAGGGATTGCTCGGCAGTATGTGCGTTCGAGGTGTCGATGTTCATTGAGTCCTGCAATTCGCATCAGTTCTCGTGGCTGACCGTGCTCTTCATCGACGAATGAGCCGAGCGATAACCCGTCCAGGGTTTTTCTGGGGCAAGAATTTCTATTTATTACTAAAACAGTTATTTATGCATGCTTCTTTATTACATTTTTTATTTGATATAGTGGGGGGGTGCACTGCATCAGGGGTCCACTTGTCATCGGGCAAGCTGACACACTGGCCAGTTTACTCCTGATTTAAATTTCAATTTAAAAATAGTTTCGTATCGACGATACAGCGATTCGTTTTTTTCGGATTTTAAATTTAAAACTTCAATATTTTTTTTTAAATATTTATACTTAAATTTTCTTATTCACGCTCAAAGGTTACATTAAAATCTGATTTAATTGGTGATAACAGTTAAAAATTAATAAAAATAAGAAAACCAGTTATTTTAAATTTAATAATCTTATTAGAGGTACAAAATTTAATTAACGAAATAAAAACAAATAATTAAAAGGGGACAAGAAGAAACGTCCGGCTACGAAAATATAAAAAAAAAAATCTGTATCAACGATTTTCAAACGAGAGCCAATTAGTTCCCAAAAAAGTAATTTCAAATCTATAGGGTAGAAATTTGAGCCAGGAGTGGATTTTAACTGTATCCATATATAAAACAGTGAAACAATAGCTGAGTTGAGTTGAGAATAAAAAATGGAGGAGGATTTATGGAAAACTGCGATTGCAAACAGAGGAATGTGATTTAAGAACCACTGATCTATATTTTAATAAATATCTATTAGTTTTGAATTAAGACCACGCACCAGTGTGTATTGAACTCACAGAACTGTATTACTGATCTAGAACTTCCGGTTATTATCCTTTTCACTACGATATGACTCCCTCTGGCGAACACAGTCTTGAAAACATACGATTCGCAGATAACACTATGTTGATAACAGATACAGAAAAAAATATGCAAGAATTCCTAAACAATCGAGAAAAAAGGACTAAGCATCGATTTTAAGAAAACTGAATGTATGATACAGATACCGATACTTAATTTGGGTTCGTCTCGAAACAACACTAATCCTATTTTATAACATAGGATTAGTGTTGTATAAAAGAAGGGATTATCCGCTTTGGAAATTATTTGTCAATGGCGATCGTTTAATCTTTTCATCTTGTATTTTTTCATATAATATGCTGAATGTATCTGATTTCGCTCTAGGTCAACTAGAGCATTGGTTCTCAACTATTTTTGCCCAATGCACCCTTTTCACGATAAGTCAGAATGGCATTCATCCCCTTCCAGGATTGCCAGACTCAAAAGCTGCATTCCAAATAATATGCATATATTACTAAAAATTTTCATTCTTTTCCATATTTCTACATATACATTTACATGGATTATTTTTACATAGGATTTTTACAAATTTAATAACAATAGAAAATGTTGATGGATTTTTAAACTTGAATACATGCACAATAGTTTGCTTTCATTTATAACTAATAAATAGTAAATAAATAATTAAATAAAGACTTCCCTTTTAAAATACGACATCGCTTTCATTGAGCAATGAGAAAAAATAACACGTCCGTTCACTCGGATATCAGCGTCTAATATCTCGCTTGTCTCAATCCTCTCTGAGCCGCGACGGAGGCCCTTCTGGCTAAGTGTATAGATTTCTCTGTCGCGCAGAGTTGTCCACCAAAATCAAATTTCTATACTTTAGTCAAAAAGTAAACATTGATTCGTTTTATACTTTAGTCAAAACGTAGACATTGATTCGTTGTATACTTGAGTTAAAAATTAAGCATTTGTCTGATTAATACTTGAGTCTACAACCATTCGCCCTTTTGTGTGGGGTGCAGCCGACTTTTCTCTCTGCAAGGAATCCAGTCAGCGTATTCGCAGTCTCAGAATAATTTAAATTCCCAAAACTTTTACAGGTTTTTTTCTATAAATAAATAGTAAGACTGATTAGGCCATATAGCTTTGGTTGGTAACCAGTCTAGGAGAAGTAAAACTGAATTCAAACCAGCCTGGAGACTCTTCCAAGCTGGGTTGAAATGCAGGACAGACTGGGTCTTATAACCTTGGTTGGCAACGAGTCTATTGTAGAGAAAATGGCAACCTTCTGCCTAATCAGTCGAGAATCGAAAAAAATATCATTACGCAAGCGTGTATCACGTATGGCACTTAACTGACTGATTTAATGTTGTAGTGATTTGATGTTTAATTTACTTCTTACAATGGAAATGATGGAGATCGCCTCAGTGTACACAGTGCGGTGGGTCTTAACTGTGAGTCTTAGACTTGGTGGAACGAAGGTATGCAGCTCGTCAGAATATTTTTTATCTGAAGTTTGGGAAAATTTCGGCACTCAGCTTGTATGTTTTGTTTGTTTGTTTTTTCTTCCCTAATTTTCTCCCTATACAAGGCCCAAAACCCACTCAAGATATACGATTACTGAAGGAGTTTGTTGTACGAGCTTTAAGAGTAAGAGATAAGAGACGTAGTTTATGAGGATATGTAGGAAAGATAACGGTTAACCCTAGACTGGTTAAGAATTGTAGTGGTCGGGAAAAGTATCTTCTAGGGAGTCAGTTCCACAAAGTAGCGGTTCGTGGGAAGAATCTTACTAATGGAATACAATTAGCTCTGATGGCTAGAATTGGTGGAACTAAGCAATGTAGCTCATCAGAACATTTTCTATGGAAATATCCATAGATTAGCGAGGCTTGCGATTTTTTGGTCTTTGGGAAATGGGTTATAGGGTGGAAAATAAGTTATCAACGACATCTATAAAGACTGCAAAATGAAACCTGAGCAGCTCTAGTTCAAATATGGCAGCAATACTCCATTTTCGGTCTAATCTTTCTCTTGTAAATGTAAAGCATATCAGTAGGAGTCAGGTACTTACTGGAGCTGTTCAGGGACCGGACATTTTCCAGCGTATTTAGCGATGGATCGTATATACCGGTTCTACTTGAGATCCCAATAAGCGTTCAAGATAAGGGACCTTGTGATAGACTCGTTCATTGTGATAGACAGTTTCTGCTCGGTAATGAAGAAATGTTTACTTTTTGAGGTATTGAATGCTAAAGAAATAGGGCTATTATATATCTAACTAGCCGAGGTACCCGGCGTTGCCAGGGTGCGCATGGCTGCAATTGTATAAACACACCCCCTTTGTACCCCCACTTCCTTGTCTAGAAATGTTTGCCTGCGTCCCCGCTTGCATGCATCATCTGTTGGTATACTAAATTACTCCTCACCTTTTTTACGGTATGTCTTTCGCAAGGATTTGATTGTTCTTAATAAAGGAATTCCATTGATAAAACCTTCTTGTGTGGCCGTTGCTCGGGATTAAATTGTCTCAATGTTTTAGATATTCAGTAAATGTCCTATGGCCGTAATAACTTTCAAATAGTATGACATTGTTCACAAATCTAATAATCACACAAAAACAGGGATGAAGCGTCAGAGCCTGATTCAACTGCATGAACGCTCCTCTCTTTCTTCGCACGTTTACTGTAATGTTGGGATTAATAAGAGGTTCTTCGGGAATTTTCCCCTTTTAATGCTTCAATAATCCTTGTCAGACAATCTTTGCATCAAAGGTTGTTCGAATGCCAATTTAGGATGGAATAATATGAAGAAATTATTGGCTAAATGGCAAAAGCCAATTTGGGACCTAGTTTGTCGCAGATTTCGTACACTTGACTGAAATAATCTAACCCAAACATTCACGCAAGACAATTTGAGGGTCATGTGTAATTTACATGGCAAATTTGGAAAGCATTGGATGGAAAACCAGGGAGTTATGGCCGAAAAACCGGGTTTTCATGGTTTTTCGTTATACGCGGGGAAGCGCGGAGGACTAAAACCACACTATCTTACTTCTTGCATGATGGCAAACTTTTGGCAACATGTTTGAAGAAAATTCGATAAAAATGAGGAAGTTATTCAAGTTTTTATTTTAAGTAGTACGAAACACCCGATAGTTTCTCCGTAATTTTTTTATGTGAAGCTAATGTCGCAGGAAAACTATCAATAACTACATAAACCTCGTAACATAAGCTATTAAGTGCAAAGAACATCAGCTTATCCAGTAAAAATTGGTTCGCGTGTAACTTTGCCTTGGTTTTTGCAAAAAAGTCGTACCCGCCTTCAGTTTTATCGATTTTCTGTCAAACCCGGGGAATGGGCTGGAGATTGAATTGTTGGTCTTGAGCTATCTTAGTAAATTTGCAATATGTGTGTACAATTTCATCGAAATCGGTCGAGAAATGTGAGCGTGTATAAATAACATACACACGCAGACAAACACACAGACGGACACACAGATAGACGCACATACACAGACATCTTCTGTTTTATAGATATAGATATAAATACATTATTTATTTTACTCTAGAAATGAACGTTGACTGGTTTCACTGATTATTGATTAAACAGTTATTTATATTTCCGTATATATATATTTCCGGTAGCAGATCTCGTTGTTCGAACACAACATTTAGAAAGCTGTTTTTTCTAGTCAGGCAGGCACTGCTATTCTTGGAGGGTTGCCCTTGTGTCAGACTAACCTAAGTAGTTATTATATCAACACCTGTTACTCTTTCTTTTTTTTTTTTTTTTTTTTTTTGGTATTTCGAGTTTTCATGCCAACAGAGACTGTCTTGAACTTGGAAGCAGGTCGCTGCAGCTCATCACCGCGATTCGGTTGCACTTAATCCATAGTGAATTCGTTCTGTTTTCAAATTCTATGCATACTTGTCTGCAAAGTCGTCTGCTCGCTGTGAACTTTGCTTTAAAAAAAATCAACGCTGTTTTGCATGTGAAAATAATTAACAACTGTCGTTGTCGTTCTTATTTAACCGTCGCTTTTATTTCGCTTTTGGATCATTTCTGTTAGTTCACCCAAAATAATGTAAAGTTACTTATCGCAAATATTAATTCACCCCAAGAAATTATAAAATTAAAATTTAGTTTCTTTTCTTTTTTATTAACATTTTGGCACTCTTTTGAAATTATAAATTTTAAATCAAGATTTGTTTAGCTTGCCTCGCAACAACTCCAAAATGA